AAGAAAGAGTGTCTAGATACTCACATGACTAATAGAAGCCGGGCCTGACCCTCCCAATAGAACCTCCTTTCCTTCAATGAAACTGATCACTCGGTAGTCTTCCAGTTGGTGACAGAATCGACTACTCATCTGTCTCGTGAATAGGGAGTTGTGCTCCAGGCAATCTAGAAGGTCATTACTGGCGTGGCCCTTAGATACGAACTTGGCGACCTTGGCTGCAATCTTTCCTAGTTCGACACCTTTGGTACCGTGGTGTGGAGTGCCGAAGAAAACAAGACCGTACGTGCCCGTGCGGATGGAAGTATACTTGGGGTCTTCTTGCGCATTCAATAAAGCCTGTTGATGCGATGTTAGCGCTGAGTACATCATGAGCTGACTTTTCCATTATTTCTTCCGAATCATGCCGTGATCCACCTGGCCAACCGTACCTGTTTGATCACCAGTCCACCTAAGCTGTGTCCGATAAAGATGATCTTCGGAGGCCGCGTATTCTATGCACAGTCAGCCCTATGTCAAAGCTTAATACAAGGCGAACCACATACCACCTGCGGACTACGCTCCAGGTCCAGCAAGTTCAACAGTGTATTCGCATGGTCCTTCACACTCGCATTGGACATCACCTGGGGGTTTGTGACGTATGAATTATAGCCGTAGACAAAAACACGCGCCTGGGGGATATCTTGAGGGAGGTAATCCCGTGGCCAGAAGGTTCCGTTCTGATGTGTCCATGTTTCGAAGGCATGGTCGGCTCGACCGCGAGGATTGAGACCGTGTACAAAAACGAAGCTACACGGTCATTATGTATTCGGATTATCAGTATGTTCTGACAAATGCTTACTCGATCTTAGGTGGCTCCGCAGGAGTGTAGACCTCTTCTAGGAATGGGAATTCGTAGTCTGTTGAATCCTTCTCCATTTAGCAACGTCCACATACAACAGTGGGTTGCATGTACCTACCATGGTTGCTTCTCAAAGTATCACGGCTGAAGGATTAGAGAGACGGGATGAATAGGGCGGGAACCCCGGATTCTATAGGTTCTACCAAGACTTCAGCCGCAAGACGGCACGAGCTTATCGTCAAGCGGAAGTCATGTGGGTTATATTCAGACGAAAGAAATGAGGCGCTATCATCTCGCGTATTAGTGCCCGGTTCGGCGTTCATACGAGGCTGCCGGAATGATTTTGAAGGGACGATGGCGCCAGAATCAACTGCGGATTGGCCCTTCGTAGCCGATACTGCATACTAGCCGGAATCCAACTCCCTCCAGTGCCCGATATGATTGGTGAGCCCCTGGCATAGCCCGAATACCATGTGATGAGCTGCAGATTTGGCGTCAATCCAGTGGACTATGAGTGAAACAAGAAGTTGCTCGCGAAGGCATGATTGCTTACAATTGGACTAATCGGTCAAAATCAGGGCCGGAGCCAGAACAGGGTTCTGGGGCGCTTATCCTACGCTTCATCATTCGTCGCGTCATCCTGGCCATCTTCAATCTTCTCCTTCAAGTTTTGCAGGCACGGCGCATGGAATAAAACCCCATGCCATGCCCCGTGCACGGTACGGATGGCAACCACCAGCCACAGTAATATCATCGCGCTGCTGAGTATCTATCACCTGTCAGCCCCCTTGTCCTTCTATGTGCTCTCATAATTCTCTGCGGCAACTTACCGTCCCGCAAACCTTAAAAAACATTAAGTTCATTTCCTTCCCCAGCAGGATGGTATTGGCCGCATATACCCCAAGCGGGAAAGTGAATCCCCACCAGCCCATATTGAAAGGAAACGGTGATCGGTAGTAAATCGTAGCGAGCGCGAAAACGAGCCAAATCAGTCCGAAAGACCACATCAACAGAGACAGCAAGAGACCGAAGACGTATGCTATGTGCCCGACCATTGGGTCAATTGCGTTCGACTCGCCGAGGAGCTGTCGAGCCACCTTTCCCAGGTATAGGATACTACCTCGGAGTCAGATTCATTCTCTCAAGGTTGTATCGTGGCTTGCACTAACCTGAATCCTCCAAAGCCAAGTGGCCCTAGTGGAAGAAAACAGCTCACGATGGTTTCCCTCGAGGGAAGCTTGTGGACCGCCAAACGCTGGTAATAGATCACCAAGATCATCATGGCCATTGGCGTAGACATGCCCCACAGCACGTAGGATACGATCACCGTTCCCATGGCGTGCTGCGCGTTAGGCAAAATATCCGCGATCTCGGCCCCAACCCCGGACGCGACGATTGTGGCGGCGATCGGCAACAATTGCAGCGCGGTGATCCGCTCCAGCGATGTGACGTAATGTTGCGATATACTACATCATATTAACAGGCAATCTTCAGTATCCTGGATGGACTTACAGGATGAATGAGAGGGATGCAGTGACCGCCGCCGCCGCGACCGCATCGACAATCCACAATCCCCAGGCCGTTGTCTTCGCCCATTCTCCCCATTGAGGGACGCAAAGAAACACCCACAACTCGATCAAGGTGGCAAAACCCATGGGACAAGTTGCCAGGAATAACGAATTAACTGGATCCTGTATCATGACCCTCCAAATTTCAGGGTAAAGAGTATAGCGGAGAATTGACATGCTGAGGACGGTGAAAAACAACAAGGCATTCAGAACGAAAAAGGCTATGGCGATGTAATGTAGCGCGGTATGTTCGAAAGGAATGAGATGGAACAATATTCCGGCCATGCCTGTCCCCATTGTGGTGGAAAACCATCTGCGGGTAAAACTCGTTAGTCGGAGTTCAATTGTTACAGCAGGAATGTAGATGTTGACGCACGATGGACTGAAGTTGCTGACGATTCTCCGCCAACCTGCTGTATACTTCAAAAGGCTTTTGCTTTGGGGTCCCGTATGAGGGCGCGGGTCACTGTTTTTCATCCTGAACGACCGGCCGATCTTGACGAGATAAAGTTTTTGTGGGTTAATGAACGATTGTGCAATTGGTACTTGTAAAAGACAATTCTATGACTTTCGTGATTGTGTTGGAGTGAAGTTGATACTAAATACCTATTTCCATGGTTCCTGGATCCAGTTCCCTCGGCCGAGAAATTCTCGTGACTGCCTTGTACCCGAAGACCGGCGAAGGCCGACACACAGCATCAACTCCGCCTCGTTTGGTAAGGGTCCTCGTAGAGCTCTTAATATGAGAATTCTCTACTACATTTAAGAACCGCTTGTATGCTTGGCAAGTGGGTGGTTGAAAGATGGTGATCTGGGTAGGTCCTGGGAAAAGTACGGGTCATGCATGTAATAAGAACTATGCGCCATTGTCATGCCATATATCCTAAAAGTTACTACGAGGCAGATAAACACACAATAGGAACTTTAAAATCAATTAGGATTCTCTGGGGCCTGGGACTTCTAAAGAACGTGAAGTGGAATACCGCACCTCAAGCTGTTCCCACAACATAGCCTAAATATATATCAATCTTGCCTGTTTACAAGCATTTGAACTTAAGCCATTAGCATTGTTGTATGGAGCCATGAACGGTTAGACCAATTCTACAGACAAACTAAACAATCTAGTTTGTGGTAGGAAACTGTTGGCGAACCTGGGCAATAATTGGATTTCGTATTTGAGGCGTCGAACTGCTACGAGTGTTAAGGGAAGGGAAGGGGTTCAACTTCAAGGGTTGAACCCTTTAAGGATGGAAAATGCCAAGTCTGAAGTTGCCGAGGCATCTCGAATGAGTCATGTTTGCACAATGGTGAATCGGTTCTGATACGAATTTGGCAATGTAGATTAATGCTAAGGGATGCTGGTGTTGAAATGGATCAGATGCTTCCCTGACATCACGACAAGATTGAGCTGTACACTCAAGCAAGGTGGATGGAGAACCTGTATTGTCACGACATGCTTACTGTGGATTTACATATTGTGAAGGAGCTCAATAGTAGGGCGTCATTGGAATTCACAGCTGCTGCTCAAGCTTTCTGTCTAGGGTTACCATGTACCACGCCGGCGTATGGATTAGCGTGGGCCAAAATCGTGGAATTTCATTGCGTCAATTCAGTTGATTCGGCTTCCTTGTCTCTATATTATTCTTCTCGGGCTCTTTATGTGATTGTAGGTATACCAAGTGTCCAGAAATTGGGTAAAATGTATCGAGTAATAGCGGCGAGAGATACTTCTGGCATCAAGTCTCATAATCTCCCCAGGATAGCGGCGGAGTGACATACTTATAAGGTATACGCCAACACGCTGTTATCACTCAATATAGTCTGTTCCAGTTTCCCCACCGCCATGATCATTGGTCCACCTATTCCATATATGAGATGGCATATTCCTGCATCGTTCTTATTATAATGTTGTGTGCATGCAACAATACTAAAATTAAAAAGAAAAAGATGCCAAGGATAAAGTACAAATGAAACTAGAGGAACTAGGTCTATAATCGACAACGCATTACGCAGCGCAACACATCGTTAGAACGAATATCACCGCCTATCTGAGGAGACACAAGGGTGGTTCTCCCGCTTTAATATATCAGAGTCGGATGAGCTTATAACCCAAACATGATTGTCAGGGCCTGCCGTTTGTGTCCCGTGTTGTAAATAAGGTGTGACACACTAAGTCACAGCGCGGAAGATCCATGTCAATCCGGCGATCGCACGGGCTACTTACTATAAATAGCATGCTCTGTACTTGACCGTGAGTGCGACTATCCATAAGGGTGTTGCTGGATACTGGTCGTGTTCGCACGGAACAGGTGGAGTTTCATCCTGGATGATTTTCGCGTAGCTGTGTCATCTATGCCCTAAATTGGTATCCATTGAGACACGAGGTCAACAATATAGGATATGTATGACCGGTGGTGAATGCTAAAGAACGACAGATACTGAGAGTTTAAGGTATATATAGGCACGTATCGTAAAGTGGGACGAGAGCTGGTCGAGAGTAAGGCTACTCGGCTCTCGTTATTGGAATATGTTTTTCCACAGAAGCTGAACTATGTACAAAAGATTGCTTCTCGGCACCTAGACAGGTGATTCACTTAGACAGAAGGCCATCCGCTCGAGAAGTCGATGGCGTTCCATCCGAATAGCTTCTGGGAGTCACCATACCCGATAGTCGTATCAACATAGTGATAGTAGAGAACAGGGCCAAGGCTCGGGTCGGTGTAGACACCCCTGTAAAGGTTAGCCCGTATGAACACAGGTAGAGATAGAGATGCCACATACTGTCCACCAGGTCCATAGACATTATCATGGCTCTCGAGAACGACGGTACCACCGCCATCCGTGCACGCAACGCCGTTCGCATCAACCTGCATCATTAGCCACACGTCTTACAAGGTCCATAGTTAAAGAAGAAAGAAATAAGAAAAGAGGAAACTCACAAAGCCCCCTGTCGGCGTACTCGACCGACAAACCTTGATCTTATACTCCTGTCCTGCAGCAGGCATAGTCTGGTCATACCCACAGCACGTTCCCCAGGAGTAGAACAGATAGTAATAATCTCCGTATTTGTACAGATATGCACCCTCGACTGGGTGTGTATCAGCTGGATCGAAAGCAACATTAACCGGCGTTGACGTCGAAGACGTGGCGTCTCCGTTCAGTGTGACTTGGAAGATGTCTTGCCAGAATGAGCCAAAGGTCAGGTAGTTGGCAGAGCCGTCAACCAGGAGGTTGGCGTCGATGGCGTTGTATTGGTTACCCGTGGTAGATGTAACCCCGATTGAGCCCTGGTCGGTCCAGGTACCTTCCTCCATGGTTTCGGAGGTTGCGAGACCGATGGCAGATTCTTGGCTGCCAAAGCTCGATACAGCGTAGTAGAGGTGATAAAGGTTGCCCACCTTCTGCACGTCAGGTGCCTAAGAGTTGTTAGCTGTATGTTGCTAGGTAGTGTGGGAAGATGCATAAGGGTGGTTCATTCCAATATCGTTCGCAGGATGACACCAGCGAAAATAACAATAAAAATAAAGCTAACAAATGGATCGAAATAGCGACAAGTACACACTAGGGAGGATCGATAAGGCAAGATAAAAAAAAAGAAAAAGAAATACCTACCCAAGGATCATACCTCCCGGAATTTTCAATCGAGGACCCACCAGGCAATACAGACCCAAGAGCTGTCCATGGGCCTTCAATAGATGAAGCAGAGGCAAAGGAGATGTTATTTCCTGTAGAAAAGCGATAGTACGTTCCATCGTCATTCTGGATTAAGGCAGGGTCATGGATATTGCAGGCACCAGAGCAAGCCCCCGGGTTAGCGTAACCATGAACCACCGCAACCCGTAGTAGGGCTAATGCAAGAGAAGATTGGAGATACATGATTAGCGAAGAAAGAGAGATGCGTGGCTTGAAGACTCAATTTCCCTGCGAGATACATAGTACTATATATACTGGGGGTCCGGTTTCTTGTACTTATCTCCGAGTGTATGTGCGCGCATTCTACACGAAAGACGTGCTTTACTCCGCCGGAGATCAACAAATACATCTATTCGAGGAATGCAATCCTCCGACATACGGTTTTCCGTGTGCCTCCAGTAATGTCCGACCCGGTTGTTGGTGCTGGGACGTAGCGATCTATAGTACATGCATTATACGCATGGTCCAAGTCACCGGTCGTGACACGGAGACAGTCCATCGTCTGTATGTTTCATTTGTGCTCCACTAGAAGTCCCGTCTGAGAAAGAAAACAGCTGATATGTCAACTATACATGACGTACAAGAGGGCAGGACGAATGCAGGATAGGATAACCCCTCCTCCTATTCAGCCAAGAAATGGCCGAGGGATGCGGTTCGACGGTCAGCCAGCCAGTCACCAGCACGAACTCCTCACTCAGCAACGGAGAAATTACATCATTGGGGTATTCTGCAGGCAAAGCTATAGCATCTACAGCGATTGGCTCATGGCGACACTCGTCCAGGAATTTTGCCCATTCTAGTAAGCGAATACACTTGTCACGGGGAGTGCTGATCGTCTTGGCTTGGCCAATTACCCGAGTGGATTCTTCAGGCAGAAACCTCGGGATTGAGATGCATTAGCTTCAGACTATTTGGCTCGCGTGCATTAGACTAGTTCCACCAATGACAGGGATACTTAGACCTGTCTAGGACGGAGAGACCAAGCCAAGTTGCGCATACCCCCTGGTCAAACAGACTATACTAAGAACTATTCGGTAAACCAACCCTCAGAGCGCCACCTTCATCTACAACAGGCCAGCCATGACGCGGGTCAGCGCCTCATTTTCGGCGTGAAACGCATCAACCCCTTCAACCCCTGCACTAGCGCCCTCGGATGCAGATGTCTCCTCGGAGGGGCCCGTCTTGGGGTCGAAGTAAAGTCCTCCAGCCATCTCAAAGAAACTGGTCAAATCGTCACAGCTATCGTCATTGTTGCCATAATTAACGGGCGCCGTCGCCGGTGGAGAAGACACGGACCAAAGGGAGGCGGAAGGTTGTGGAGTCGGGATACCGGATGGCTGGTGCTGGTGCGACGGGACCAACGGCGTCTGCGACAGAATGGACTGGTTCGAGTCATGCTGCCCGTGGCTGAAACGAGATAGTACCTTGCCAAGGTTTTCCGGCGGTTGCCCGTGTTTATAAGGCGATTTGCCGACGTTCAGCTTAATCAATTTCAAACTGCGGATGATTTTCTGTAGTCGTCTCGATGTTCTGGCCCGAGTGGATGACTTTCTCACCATGTCTACGGCGGCATAGAATTCCGCACGACAGACGTTGCTGAACCGACTCGGGGCATGGAACACGGCGAGGAACAGTGCGGCCAGTGCCGAAATTAGGAAGTAATTGAACGGCTCTGGACGCTGGAAATAGATATCCGAAACACGCGTGAAGTAGTCTAGCATGTGGATCGTACTTTTTGCAGTCTCGACGGCGACGGATGCGCCAGAGAAATTCGTCTCAATGCTCTCACTACTGAGCAAATTTTGACGGTACACGAGAATGCGAAGCTGGTTGGCCTGCAGCGCAAGGAGAACTTGCAACATCATCATGTTATCGTTCTGAACCGAGTCAGGGGATGAGCGTCGTGAAGGGTCGAACCGCAGTTCCTGTGGAATGGACTGGATCCATTGCTGGACTTGAAAGTCAAGGTACGAACAGTAGTCCGACGTCGCTGCACGCGATCGACTGCCCCAGCCGACTACGAGCCCCCATATCTTGCCGCTGAGTCGTGCGTACGAGATCATACAAGTGAGATAAGGTGTGGCGGTTCCTAGCACGGGAAGGTTGGTGTCCATGTCGGTGTCCTGAATAGCGAAGGGAAGGCCAGTGCCAAAGGACCATTTCCGGTCCAACACGTAGATACACCAAAATAGACGACTAGCCCACGTCCATTGCAGCTCCCCGGGGAACACACCTCCGGTTCTATACCAGGTCTCTTGGCAATGAAGGCCTAGTTGCATTGAGCCTCGACAAGCCATCCCAATACAACGCCACGAAATCACTTCATCATCCCGGTACGAATGGAATATTGACTTGAAGACGATTACTGTTAGTCATATGTGCAGGGAATAGAGCGGATAGGCTACACACCAGCAATGTCAATATAAGAAGCTCTTTCATGTCAACCTCGGGGATATTGACGCGAGTCGCGAAACGATCCTCAACACTTTCTGCCAACACAGCAGCTCGCTCACTCCGTCCATGCGATTCCGTCACCAAAGCTATTGCCAAGATAATTTTCAGCACCTCCACATCGCGCGCAAAGAACCAGTCCTGTTGCTCCGAGCTCAGGATCTGGCGAGAGTCATCTCGAAAGAAATCGACAATACACGCGCGCACACTGTCCAGATCAACACATGGGTACATCAAGCCCACCGTGTTTTCATAGACTGTCACCAGCCTCAGAGCCTCTGTCAGCCCTAGGTTTCCTAGTGGATCATCGGTCACAATATCCGCATCAGGCGCTGCAATGGGACTCGGTGCAGCAGTGGATTCAAATTCATCGTCCTCCTCCGACGGCTTCCGACGCGCGGTCAGGCCGAACTCCGCACTCGTGGGTCCAACGTGATACGGTGACATTGGCCGATTCATAATACGCTGTAGACCAGTATTTGTGGTTTGAGAAGATACGATGGAAGCTGGTGTCGGAGTGGGCTTATTTGCGTTACTATTAGCAGGCGACGACGATTCGAGCTCGC